GGAGGGTGCTACATGGGAAGTGCGTCTAAAAAAAATTCTTCAAACCATAAAAACTTGCTCCTTAATAACTAGTAGATGTGAAAAACATTATCATTGAAATCTACCTGATGACTTTATATCCATGCTCAGATTCCAAGGAGCTCAGAAAGTAACTGACTGTGACTAGTAATAATCAGATATATAGAGATTAAAAATGCACATGCAAACATCTTAATATCAATTGCATTAAAATGAATTTTTCTGTATGAAACTGTGTATTTTAGTAATGAAATGGAGATCTTTTAAAGGTTAAAACCTCATTTAATTTTATGTCTTATAGGGTTTATTCTGAGTACAATATTGTATAACTGTAAAAATTCAACTGTAAAACTAAAATTTTATAGCCAATTTTGAAAAAGATACATCTTAGCTCAGAAAATTGTTATTGAATATATCACTGCTGTTGTAATGAAATGCTTTTTCTAAGTATGTGGTTATTAAATAAATAATTAACTGGAAAAAAAAATGTGTCCTTTTCAATGCACATATCTATATAGCTTCATAAATGCAACTCCAGTATCCACCCTCGCAGGAGATGGAGACTAGATGAACAGATGAACAGGAGACTAGAATCAGTGATAAACATCCTATAAAGTACATAACCCTCTGTGTAAACTGCAGACAGCTGCTGAGGGAGAAGGGTAGACTGTGAGGCCCTAAGTCTTTAGAGAACGGTTCACTGGGAAGTCAACCGACCTTCAGATAATTTTCTCTGGTGATTCTGAGCCTGGACAGGAGACTGAGAGGGGGGACCCTCAGGTTTCTCTATATTTGAGAAATGACTTGATTTTTGCATATCTAATTATGAAATTTACTGAATTTCCATAGCTTTTAAGAGAAAAGCCTGCAAAGTTCATTTGAAAACATCTCAAAAGCTGAGCAGTGATGGCAGTCCAGCTACGATCACAAAATTGATTCACTCAGGAAACAGTCATTTAAGAAGTTAATATAAAAAGATCAGTGTATTTCATGTCTCATCACAAAAAGAGAAAACAAAATCTGAAAAACTGTAAAGCATTTGTTTCATGTTTGTGTTGAATGAATGTGTGAATGCAAGTTCACGCCCACACGTGTGCACCAGCACCAGGAAGCCAGAGGTCAACATTGGGGTGTTCCTGAATCTCTCTCTACCTTTTTTCTCATATAGAGTTTCTCACTGGTTCAACTAGATTTGCTGGCCAGCTAGCTCTAGGGACCCCTGTCTGTTCATAACTGGCTAATACTGTGATTACAGGTGAAGGCTGCCAGGCCTGGCTTTTTACACGGGTGCTGAAAATCTGAACTTCGGTCCTCCTACTTGGTGTGGCAGCCACTCTACCAACTGAACCATCTCCCCAACCTAAACGTTATAAATTTCAATGTATTACTATAAAACTTCAAACATTTGCAGATGCATCTATAAGAACGTACAAGTTACAAAACAGAAAAATCCAAAATGTTACTGACAAACTTAGGGAACTTTTACATATAGAAATATTATAATAAATATTAGGTCTCTTCAAATTTCAAATAAACTCATATCAGATTGTAGCATTCTTTT